CCTTTTAATCCTTGTTGATACTCAAATCTCAATGTTGGTGTATCGACCCGTTTCTTGCATCATTTTTCATTTTAATCCACAAGTGAATGTGACGATTTAACCATCGCATTGTCACCATTCTACAGTTATGACCCTTAACAATCATGAATGGGATTATTCCATGACATATATATATATATAACCTTAGTTATCGGAGTTATATCATCCCACTTATAAGTGTTAAGGGCCAGAACTGTAGCATCCCCATGTTTGATGCCCCAGCCTGCGATGCCTAAACCCAAGTAGTGGCTGCCATGTCGCAGCACAAACCAACCTTATGGAGAGTTTGGCGAGGTACAAAGCTTTGGAGGTCGAATCATCAATTATATAATGGATTATGCTGGATTATCATTATATAATAGGTGTATTAATGATTATCTAATGATTATATGGTGTACATCAATAATAATGATAGTAATTAATGGATAATCAAAATAGTAGGATCCTAATGTATACACGGATTATCCAACAGTATACTGGATTATCAATTGTGATCCTTTTTAACATTTTTTACCGGCACTTTGAGACCTTATAGGCATGCAGTCTTCGTGAGTGTTGTGACAGATCGGTTTACGGCACGGAGATGTAAGGGTCTCAATCTGAGGACAGGTCAAAAGAACGGAGATATCATTGAAAATAAAACAGAAAAACTGCGCGGAATATGGAAAATGAATGAGCAATGCAAATCAGATGTAAAAATCATGGCAAGAGAAATCCAAGTTGGAACCTATTGCAATAGTGAACACACATTCTCTGAATTCCAATGCTTAGTTTGAAGAATGTCAATAATAATTGAATACCACACATAGCAGCTACTAGGGCTTAATATGACTATATTTAATATTATCTAATATTGTAATATAGTATAACATAATAACAAAGTATATCAAATATATAGTACACATATAGCGCATATATATATATGATATTCCCTTAAGTTTTTCTTCGGCCCCAGCCCTCCTCTCCGTCACCGGTCTCTCGACTTCGACTTCGTCAAGATGCGGATGTTGGGCGTGTCCACAAAGCATCTGAGGTCTGATGGTTTGGTCCTCCGTGTTACCCCCTGGTTGGTTGATTTTCGTGGGATTTTCATGGGATTCTATACCCATCAAATTTTAGGGAAATATATGGGAAAATATCGGGAACATATATGGGAAAATATATCTGGTTGGTGGTGTTAACCATCTGGAAAAAAATGGTCAATGGGAAGGATTATCCCATATATGATGGGAAAAAAAAAATGTTCCAAATCACCAACCAGTTAATGGGATTCTATACCTAGATTTGGAGATATAAGTGGATATTCTTGATAAACGATGGTTGGTTGATGATTAACTAGTTCGGGGGTTATACTACCCAATATATATATATATATATTGGGGATTATAATAATCCATTTTGTGAAATCCTAACCAACCAGTATAATCGAATGAAAAAGGATTGTGAACACTGCTCACATGAAAATTGAGCAACCCCGTTGACCAATAGCAATGGAATTTCGGAACGCGGGTAGATAAAAACGTGTTCGGTTGATTCCTGGTTGGTGGTTTCAATCCCTCTGAAAAATATGAAAGTCAGTTGGGATGATGAAATTCCCAATATTTGGAAAGTCATAAAATGCATGTTCCAAACCACCAACCAAATTCTTATGAAACACAAAATGTAGGCTACAAAAATCGTAGAGATTTCAGAACTGCCTTTATTATGGTTAGTATTCCCCAAGGTAAGGACAGAAATTAATGATCAGTAATTACTACCCGGACCCTCTGGTTATTTGTTACATAGCCATGGAAAATCACCATTTTTAATAGGTAAACCATCTATAAATGGGCTATTTTCCATGGCTATGTTAAATAACCAGAGGGTAAATCAAACAGAAACAGAATGAACCCATCTCTATTGATGAGTAGCAGTGAGTAGCAATGGAGGAATTGCCCAGCAATCGTGGGGGACATATATGGATATATGCCAGTAATAGGATTTAACCCCCGTCATGACAGCTTCCAAAGTTGAGCCACAACCTTTGCGCATGCGCATATATATATAATCTCTGATTTTCGTGAAGTTCAACATCAGAAAAGATGCCAATGCATCGATTTTAAAGGTATTGAAGGAACTGCGAGCTTGCTCTTCAGCCTCTCTTTCAAATCCAGTGGCAAAAAGCAATGATAGGCCCTTGCCAATTACCTGAGGTAACACATGACACAGTTATGGCCCAACTCACACTTATAAATGGGATTATAACTCCTATAACAAGTTGGTTATATATCATAATGATTTAATCCCATCTTATGATTGTTAGTGGGGCCATAACTGCATAACCCAGGTTTGGTAGAGGACCAACGATGTCGCCTGGCCCTCCATGGACCAACTAACTGGAGGAAGGACGTAGAGAAAAAATATGTTGGGTGAAAAGGCAAGTGCCGATTAACATGTAATCATGCATTAATAAGATATAACTTAATATATTAACTATGAATATGCATATGTAATTGTAAAGGTATATGAACATGTATTAGTACAGAATTGTATGTGTATATGTATATATGCAATCTATGTGTAATCTATATCTAACTATATGCGTTTACCCGTGTGTGTATATGTAACTAAGTATGCATGAAACTATCTATCTATTCGGCAATGTATCACAATACAATTAGTATGTGGTCGATAACAGTGAGAGTTGGTCGGCTTCACACTGAACCTCCAACAAGTCAACAACCAACAACTGAGGTAGCAACAATATGTAGTAAAACAAAATTATCAAAATTGTTTGATTCTGGTTGTCTAGTCCGCAATCTGACTAGAGTGTTGTGTGTGAGAGAGTGTTGTGTGTGGCAGAATGTTGTGTGTGAGAGAGTGTTGTGTGTGACAGAGTGTTGTGTGTGTGACAGAATGTTGTGTGTGTGACAGAGTGTTGTGTGTGACAGAGCGTTGTGCGTGTGACAGAGTGTTGTGTGTGTGTTTGTGACAGAGTGTTGTGTGTGACAGAATGTTGCATGTATGTGACAGAAGGATACAAAAGGCATGGCGGAGGAAGGCAGAGGAGGCGGAGGGGTGCAGAGCCGAAAAACGAAAAAACAACGCCGATCGAACACCCTCCGTGGCTCAAGCCTCGCCCTTGCGACATGGGCACCGAATACATGGTGGTGGGCAAGCGCAGTTCTTGAAACGCTGCTTGTGTTTCTCCAAAATTGTTTGATTCTGTTTCCGCACAATCTCCATCATCAGTCCCATTCTGACCAATCCTGAGCTTCCATTCAGGCCAGTATTTGGATCACCCGTCTGGTGGTGGGGCCATTCATCATAAGTATCTATACAGTATAAGTGTGTATATATATATATATATATATTATTATACATATATGCAACATGTATGTGTAACATATGTATATATATGTATATATATACACTCTATCTAGGAATTTCTTGCCAGCCCTGTGGATCTAGCCGTTCTTTCTGAGGAAGTATGACTGGGGTACGATGACTGGGGGTGATTGGTCCCTTCTAGAAGGAAGGTGTCTGGATCCGTAGGGCAAGGTTTCGTCATTTCGCCCATCTCGGTCTCATCCCAATATCAAAAAAAAACGTTCCGATGTTAAGGATCATATGTCTACAAAATACACCTATATACCACAATTCTTGCCATACGAGATTGGGATGAGACTGGGGTATATTGGGATATTGTCATATACCTATATATATATTCAATTATATATATATATTATATACTGTAAATTGTATATGACAATATTGGGATAAAAGCTACTAGAATTCATACACCTTCATCTTATTCCTCTCTGAATATCTCTGCCACCTTTCTGGGAGGCCCGGGCTTGTAGTGACTGCAGCGGAGCAAACCAAAGAGCTCTTGCAAATCTTGAGCAGCTGCCTGGCGCAGGCAGCGCTTCAATAAGGGCTCTCTATGGCTCTCTATGGCTCTCTATGGTCATAGATAAAGCAAATATCTCCACAGGGTGATTATATGATATTATATGAAATTATACTATAATTGCACATGATACAGGGCTTACAGCTGAAGGTATCTTATTATCATTTGGATCGACTGTCATCAGTAGGTACAATACAGGTGAAGATAGAGTTTTACGAGCACCTTAATACATTCCGACTAACTTCAGGAGTGGAGGGCAGACTGATGAAGCAGAGTGGTTGAATGGCATTCCTGGCCAAAGTTCTTGAAACTGGGACCTTGCAAAACTACATTTATGGAAACTGTACATCTATCTATAGTCAATGGATTCATAAACCAACTACTGGGAGACTCCTCCACCCTCTATCAAATGCAGTCAAAGAGTCGGATTCACAACAAATCACCTCCACCATCAAACATGGTGGCAACCATCAGCGAGCTCAGCGGTCACGGGATAGAAATTCACAGAACTAGAATAGGAAACCGTGCTTTCTGCTTGATCATGCTACTTCACCAGCTGTATGTAATAGAGCGTGTGTTGATGTTGACTGAAACTGGTCAATGAAAAACAATCCATCATCATACCTCATTCCTACAGTAGTTGGTGGATTCAACAGCCGACCACTTTGTGCTGGAGAGAATGCAACTGGGGCCAATTGTTACCATACCTAAAGCAGGACAATCCACCTGCAAACCACTTCGCACCATACTTACGATTGGCGGATCTCATTATTTGGTTTGCTGTTATCGCTTGATCTTTTTTTCAAGTGTCCTATCCATATATTGCATTTTCTGTATTTGAAGATGATGTTCCAAAAGTTGCAACTTGTTGTGCAAAGACTTCCACTCAGTGATGTCAGGCGTCTCCGCCTCAGGGCTGTTGGCTTTTGAAACCGTTTGCCGAATCTTGAGCTCCTCCAGCTGCTTGGTAGTGCCACGAGCCTTCTGGTGGACCACCTTCAGCTCCTGAAGCAGCTTCTTGCTTTGAGGATGCGCCACCGATGCCACAAGCGAGCCTTGATAATTTGGGCGAGCAACAAAATACATGACTCATACCTTATGACTCATGACTCAGGACTGGATCCTCTCATTCTTTGCTGTGTGGACTTATGACAAAACCGTGGAATCCAATCCCCTATATTAAATATTATATATATAAAGACTCTTCCATGCGACTGTAATTTCCAACGTCAACATGTTAAATCTTCATCCATAGCCACTTAATTATTCAAGACAAGTCCCACAAAATCAAGTGGTTTGTCATCTGTTGATTTTTCCCCAATTCAAATTTGGGTTTTTAGGTACCCATGTTTGGGTAATTAAATCATATCAAAACTATACATATCCCTATTACTGGGTGGAATCCCCCTACATCTCTATGATTGCTGGGCCATACCCAAATGATTGCTGGGAAATGTCTGCATGCGGGTATAGTATGCCATTCTTGGATAAGACCCCCTATTTGCACGGTCAATGTTGGTTGGATGGAGAGAAACCCCGTCATTTTTCAAATGTACCGCTAGTATGAATTCGCAACCGATTTTATATCACCACAATATCCTGTCCTATAGTATCCTATTACATCTCCATCTTGGTTGGTCGGTGAAAACTACCCCCCAATAAAGACATTGCCAACATTACCGTTGTCAATGATTCATGGTTGCAAAACATGTTTTTCACACCGTAAACCATCTGGTTCCGATGACTTGCCGATGAATTTGTGACGTCAAAACATCCACGAGCTGGGGCCCCATAGCTAAGTTGGTGAACAGTTCACGTTACGGTAACGTTTGGCTTCATTTAAACGTTACGGTAACTACATTTAAATATACGAAACTGGTATTTCATACTACCTCCGGGGCCTCGCGATCTGGCCCGCCCTTCACTTATTTAAATGCCGTTACCGTAGTCATAGTAGTTAGACGGATTGTAAACCAGCACAACATGCCGGAGGTTCACATATCGCAACCAAAACTCAGGAGTTATCCCCGATACGTGTTCCTCCAAGGTAGTTGGATTGTATGCCCCCGCGTAAATCTATAGTTTCCATTAAGCCAACAACAAAGAAATCCGCAAAAATGAGTTGGAATTGAAGGTGTAAAGTTATAAACCAATATTTTGGGTTGATTAGCTATGGTTTAAAAACCAGGTGTAATGACCATAAACCAAAGCTAGCTGATCCCTAAACGGACTTTGAATTAATAGTTAGGATTATTTAGAATTATCTAAATCAGAGTTATTATAAGCCATAGCCAATCCCCATTAGTCCGTTCTAGTAATTAACCAACCAGTAGCTACAGTATCGCTAGCTGGCCTGGGAAAGCAGGTACTCCCGATCCAGCTCTTCAAAAATCACCTGCAGCAGGGCCATGCTGTGGAGCTTGGATGGTTGAACACCTATGAATCATGGGGTATGTTTACCACCTACCAACTGCTGCAGGATTTCTTAACATCCATAAGATGGTACTGAAGTCACTGTTATAGACATAAAGAGTGATATTCCATATGCACATGGAGTGTATATCACTGTCTATATATTGGATATAGAATGATAATGAATGATATAGACACATGCACATTGGATACTTTAATAACGGGATAACTCATTTTCGTTACTAATGTAACAAACAGAGTCGGTTGCCACCCGTGGAACAACAACTTACGTTGCTTTGGAACAATTAGATAATGAGATAAAAGTAAGTCAGGAAAATGTCGTCCATCAGCTGGCTAGGCATTCACTTTCAACTTGAGCACTGTCCTGACAAGGGCTGACGTACATCATTAATAGCAGCCATCCCGTCAATTGTAAACCCCCTACAAAACCACGGTTCTGAAGAGCTGTTCAACATTAAGGGGGAGGGATCACAATGATTACACCCCGCCCCAAACCACACACACTTTGATGCTTCCCAGCTCCCCTACTAAACGTATTTGTTGAGTTCAGAGTTTGAACTGCGATGTTTGTTTGTCTTCATGTTTCGATTTCGTTGTCATTGTTTGAACCTTGGCCTCTTCTGTCAACGTCGTTGTTGAGCCCTGAACTTTTGAGTCACCCTTTTTGACCATGACTTTTCGTGTCATTTCTTTGAGTTCAAGTTCGTTTTGAGCCTTGAACTTGTGTAGCAGCTTGTTTGGAACATTGAACTTGTGTATCACCTGTGTTTGAACCTTGACCTTTTCTATCAACTGGCAGCACGCGCCTCGGAGGCAGACAAGCCTCGCCAGCTGGTGAAGGCCCGGGCCCCTTTTGAAGCACGGTGAAACCATTGTTTAACAACCTACTGCAATAAGAACTTCAGGGGCTGGATTGCTGGATTCAACCCTTTCTGTCAGCTAATTGAAATAAGAACCCTAAGGTACCCAGGAATTCTTGCCGCTGGTTCCTATTCCACTTTAATGGGCATCAATATACCAAACATTGATTTTTAGCTAGTTCCCAAAGGAAACATATGATGATTATGATAAACATGGCGCGGCCCCAGGCAGATTCGAATCTTTATGTAGTTACTAAGACTAATGTCGACAGCTTCAGCTAGACACGGTCATCTGACCTTGGAGGCTGCCCTTGGCTTGTGTTGGCTTGTCTTGGCTTGTCTTGCCTGTGCTTCCTGTTTGGGAGGCCTGCGTCTGAAAAAACTTTTCGGGGCCTGAAAAGTTTTTTCTTCTCCCGCCTCCTTTGCAACCTAATACCACGCCAAAATAAACTTTCAAGCCCTGGCATGGTGGAATATCTGGCCTATAGCTGTGTTTGGAGTGCATGCACCTGAAAAAAAACGAGACCTAACAAGTTTTTTTCTTCCCCCCCTCCTCCTTTGCAACCTAATACCACGCCAAAATGAATTGGCGAAACCCTCACCATATGAACCCCTTAAGAACTAACCCATGAAGAACTTGAGGGTACCCTGGGTCACCATTCCCAAATTTTCCACCTCTAGCACTTAAGAACTCCAGGGTAGGCTGGAAAATTCTTAATCGGTTCTTATCTAACGGTTCCGCCGTACCATGTTTTCGAGAATTTCGGCCACATATTCTGTAAATGTGTGTATCTTGATAAGATATGTGGAGCTAGTGATGCATTCTTAGTCGGTGGTAAACATGCGAATGAAAACGATGAGCTGTCCGGCTGTCACTGGAGGGAATCAGCTTCGAAGAATCATACCATTTTTGTCATCCTGAGGAGAAGCTACGGCTGGATCCATAGGGTATACAGTATGTAATCACTGGCCTTCTCAGGAGCCTAAATTGGAGGTACCTACCATATATATCATGCCTATGTAAGGTCTATGTACGGGGATATACCCCCAAAATATGGCCAAAAATATGTTACTATCGCACATCCACTTTAGGATCCTGGAATTCCCATTGATGTAATGGTAACCAATATGGTATAACTGTATAACCATTCCTAATCATTAATCTCCCACCATTAGGACCCAAATACTTCCTCAGAAGGTACGGCTGGATCCAGGGGTGAAGCACTTTCCCATTGACATGGCGCCATGATTTTTCAGAAATGGCGCCATATGGATCCGCGATACAAATTGGAAGGCAAAAAAGAAGTTGGTGACTTCAAAGCAACAACAAATCAAATAGTATAAGCCACTTTAAGCCCTCATGTTTGTCACGGTTAAATTGTGATAAATCGACATATTTCACGAGTTTTGCTACTGACAACAAGCATTTCTGGAGCCACATCCTTTTTCGCGCAAGAAAACCACTCAGGGAGCTGCCTTGCACTTCCTCCACAGCTGCTGGCTGGGCCTTAATGTCCGTGCCGGCTGGTTATTCCGGGAACTACATGTGCATGAACATCGGATAAGCATCTAGCCATGTTTCAATACTAGCTGGTAGTACAATATAGTACAATTATAACTGATTCGTACCGATATATTGATGGGTCCCAAAGATGAGCCCACTTCAGGGGCGAACAAAAACCAAAACAATATTTTCCACCCATCCCCACAAATTAGCTACGACTTATGAAATTGGGTGATATTGGGTATGCCCAAAATTTCTTGACTTTAGTCCATACCCTTGCTGGCAAGAGGGGAATACTAACGGATGTGCCGTCACGACCTCAGCAAATTTCGATGAGGATTTGGAGTTGTTTTGATGCACATGAATATACTATTCTCAGACCCCACCTGAGTATAAATGACTTAAAATAGCTTGTAAGTGGCAAAGAACGGGTGACAAGAATGAACTAACGCAGTGAATATGTTTTCTCTGGTGCAGGAATAATATGTGATAATAACATATCATAGCAGGAATAATATGTGAAACCCTGCCAGAAAACAAATCCATATACATATTGATGATATAGGTACTTCTATGTACATATTATATACTATATAATGCAAATGCAGGATTTTCTACAGATATGTTACATTAATGTCAGTGTCCCAAGACGAGCGTTTCATATTTCTTTTCTGGCAACCAACTTGCCGAGAATCTTGTCTCCTTCTTAAAGGAGGCGAAGGGCCGGCGCCGCGCGTTTTTTTGGGATGTGCTGGATGTGAAAAACTGGCCCCAAAAAAAGATGTCCTGTAAAAAAAACTCCATTTATGGTTTCCACACTATATATATATATATATATTTAAATACGTATGTAATGTGTATATATATATATATATGTATGTATGAATGTATGTATGCATGTATGTATGAATGAATGTATGTATGTATCTATGTATGTATCTATGTATCTATGTATCTATGTATATATAAATTGCTTGGGCTTGTGGGGTGGGGTATTGTGGCACACATCCCAAAAGAAAAGCAAACATCTTAGATGACTTTTAAAGCGCCGAAGCCAAGTTGATTTTAACAACTGACTTCTCACCGATGAAAAGTTCAAAAATGGAGACGTCTCAAGACTCCTGCCACTCTCATGGATTGAACCAGAAACAGAAAAGCTAAAAAACATATTCTACACAATAAAAGTCACTATACCTATGATGACATACAACGTGTGGAAAACTGCTGGTTTTTCCACAATACCTATCTATAGTTTCATGATTTGCGTGTTTTCACACACACACACGCAAAAAAAAAACAATCCCATAGGATCCATGTATGCTATATATGGTAACATTTACCATCAATATACCCCAAATGTTAGCATATATACGATACATGGATCCTATGGGACTGTATATGACTGGTATAGTTCAGACTATTCGCATCTCGAGACGTCCCAGCCAAGCTGCTGCGACTCACGTCCCAGCGTCCGAAGGTCCGAACTATGCCGCATTAGCTGCAAGTGGACCGTTCTCGAAAAAAAAAAAAAACAATATCATCAAAATGTCAAACATAGATTGACACGCATGAATGTACATATTGTATGTATGTATATATATATATATACACATTATGTGGCTAAACCATATACATCTACACTCATAATATATATATATATATGGCATATATATATATGGCATATATATATGGCATATATATATATGGCATATATATATATTACATACATTATACATATTTATATATATATACATAGTGTACCTATATAATTACATATATAGACAAACACTCAAATAATGCATTGAAAATTGTAGTGTACCCCCAAACTTTGCATATACAAACTGGGTATCTTTGGTAGGTTTCCCTGGTATATCTCCTTCGAGTTGGAATCACAACAGACAAACTGCAGGGAAGTAGGAGCCGTGAGAGTGTCCAGGCCAGGTAGACGGGGAATTAAAATAACACGACGGTTGAAAACTCCAACCCAGATGCTCCATGTATGGTATATTTACCTACATTTGGGTGATTATTAGGGCAAAGGTTGGTAAATATTCCATACATGGAGCATATGGGCAATAAAAGTGACTAAGCAGCGACATTGAATCTTATATGTCGTAATTGACTCTGCGGTGGTTCCACATGTGAAGCGCAAATGTCACGAATGCATTGTAGACCACCTGCGCTTCACCATCCACTTTGTCGTCAGCGCAAGCGACACCGATCGTCTGCAGCACTGCACAATGCGGACGCACCTGTTGGCGTCGGCATGCTTGCCGCATTCTCAGCAAAACTCGTAGTTTCAAAAATCTGGATACAAATGATACAAAAATACAAAGAGGAGAACATCGACAACGGCCACAATCACATCTGCCCTTTGCAAAAAAAATAACAAGATTTCTACGCCAAAAAGATTCACACTAGTGAACTCTCCAAAACACAATGGGGCTTCGTTTATGGGGGTCATTATTATTTCCATCCCCACTAATGATCTTTCATTCAAGCCTTTTTCAGTATCGGTCAATGTCAACAATTGACAATGGTCATTCTCATCTCCTAATCTTTGTTCCCTCCGAAACAAAAAAAACAATACAGTCAATCCCCACTATCATGTCCATCCCCAATAATCCAATATCTGGTTGGTGGTATACCTACCCCTCTGAAAAATATGAGTTCGTCAGATTGGATCATCAGATCATCATCCCAACTATTGGGGAAATAATAAAAAAAATGAAACCAGCAACCAGAATATCATTCATGGTCATTAGAATATCATTCATGGTTATTTCCCCATCATTTCGCCAGTAAGTTCGGGAGATCCGAAAGGGCAATATGATGATCGTGGCGTCACATGGGACGTTGGTCAATGAGAGCGAAGAGAACTCCAACGATCTGCGGGCCCAGCCTGGCCACATGAAGGGGACTGAAAATACATGGATCATGGACAAAGATCTATGAAACTATGCTTCTATCACAATACATAATGGTTGTAAATACTGGTAATGATATATAATATATACATATATATGTGTGTATATATATATATATATGTATTAATAATGATTATAGGAAAACTGATAATGATATATGATAATAATGTGGTATACCCAATATATGCCAATGGCAATGATTAGGAAAATACTGATAATGATAATAATAGTGTGGTAAACCCAATGCATGCCAATAATAATGATTACACAAATACTGATAATGATAATGAAAATAATAATGTGGTAAAACCAATGCATGCCAATGCCACAATCCATCCCGAAAATCACTTGTTTTTTGGACTGGGATTTCTACCATCTCCAAATGGTGGGTTATAGCATTCGGTTTATACATTAATATAAGCAGCTGTGAATGGCTGTGAACAGCTACCTGGGTCGAATGATTCGAATGATCCATATCAACTGTATGATTCCTTGAAATTATATTAATGCACACTTGAAATGTCTATTGCAACATCACGTAACCCATCTGAAAAGATAGCAATTAAAAATCAGCAAGCTTCGAATAATTTTTGCGGTCACCTAACATCCCTATACGTGTTATTCAATATCAACAAATGCCATCATCATTTGGATTTTTGCGGGTGATGCCATTCTTGCTACTTGACGCCACCAGCGTCGTTCTGTAATATCCCCTTGTTATTTTTTGCATCTTTGTTTATGGCCCATACCGAGACTTGCTGGTTAACGTATCCACCATGGTTTAAGGTCTGTTTAATATGAACGGCGGACAAAAACAAACATATTTCACTACATTTCTAGTAACC